ATCTTGAAAAGCTTATTGTGTAAATAAATGGATGTGATTTATGACAGAACAAGTTAGAGAATGAATCAGGAAACAAAGGCAAGTGTGTGCTTTAAGTATGTGATAGTGAAGTTCTGAATAGTTGGAAAAATGATCTATTTTAACATAATCAACACACAGTAAACAAACTAGGGGAGTTTTCTCTTACCTGCACAATGGGCCCCTTGCAGTAGGCACAACGAGGAGAGAAGAGTTGATGGTAGTCTTTGTTACAGTACGGTTGTCCATCTCTCTCAAAGAAGCCTGTGGTGCTCAGCTCCATCTTACATGCCACACACACAAAGTGCTCAGGGTGCCACACTTCACCCAGTGCGGTGATCATCTACAGAATAGAAACAAAACAGTAAGTGTTAGGAGAACAAGAAGAGGCTTTTATCATAGTTTCTAAATCCACAATGATTAGATTTTAATGGGTGCTCATTTATTTATGTGACTGTACCTTTCCCACAATGCATTTGTTGCAGGAAGCACAATGGCCCTTGGCTGTGGTGCGCACACCAATCTTCTCCAAGTCGGAGCTCAATCCACCAAGCAGATCATCTATAGTATCTGTTTTTTTGCTCGTGTTCGAGGCCTTTGCATCTGAACCTGCTGCGCCGCCGCTGCTGCTGCTCGCCTTGTTCTCCTGTTGGCCTCCTTCTGTTTTTCTTTTCACAGACTGCTTCTGTGTGAGTGGTGGTGGGGTTGTTGAAGACTCTGGATCCTAAATGATAATACAAATCAGCATAAAAATCTATTGTTTTGAGATATATATTTGATTAATGCATTTTTCTAAAGGTCAATGTTTAACAAGGCTCCTATACTGAATTACTTAAGGCTGTAGTATTGACATTAATACAATGCTGCCCTCTGCTGTTACACTGGGTTAATTTCACTCATATTTAGAAGTCTTAACCTCACATCCACTGTTCTCTTTTACCATATGAATCACCAATTTATATGGACTGAAGTGAAAAACTACAGAGTATTTTATTCTTTTGACATACTGAAATAGATAAATATTGACAATTTTGACACATGCACTTGTAGACAATGCACTGACCCCTTGTCCCAAACCCATCAGATCCTGCAAGATGGAGTCCAGCTCCTTAGTGGGTGAGTCAGGGGAAGCTGCCACAGGAGCTGGCAGATCACTAAAACCCATAGAGGAGCAAATTAGAAAGCATAATATCTCAAATTAACCTCCAAGAACACCAATTATCCTGTGATTTCTGTACAAATTCATACTGAGGGAAAACTGTGTCTCTTAACATAATCTGAGGTCTGAAGAGTTAGGAACTGTAGAAAACCCCAGACAACAGTACTAATAATACAAATCAATGCAGAAATTGACACAGGGGAATACTTTTGACAGTAATATCTATTGTGGCCTTGCAATTAGGTTAAATGTAGACTTCTACTTGTACTAAAGATTGTTATGCACATTAAGATACTTGTGGAAGTGGAAGACCTTATAGTCATAACATGCTGTGCAATGAATTTCAAATCATTTCCTGTTTCCTCTACATACTTTACACAATGATAATGTGAAATGGGAGTCAGCAGGGGCCTTAAGCCTACGCTTTACCTGTAGACATTTGAGCAGACTGGGCCTTTTCCTTTCTTGGTAAGTCCAGCACAAACTGCACCTGGTGCCTGTGGACACACAACCAAAAGTACTGGAGTTTCCAAAATGTAGACGTTAGCATCTCAACTGGTTGCTTGAGAATAAAGTTCAGGTTTGACTTAAACTAAAATCTAGGTGATAATTAAGAAAGTTACGATGTAAGTTTATTATTTCTGTGGCTTTTTCTTCACCTCTCCATCAGCTGGATTAACTGGATTGTTGCTGTTGTTCTCACTGACACCCTGTGAACCTGCTGAAGTCTGGGCCAGCTCCTCTAAAAGAAAATCTGTGGCAGAGTGAACATATATTCACATGTAGGCATGCATACATACACAGTATTTACACAACATAGCCACTAAAACACATTGATTTTACTTTCTGGGTGTTTATTATTAAACTAAAGTATATGTGATTTGCACTAGGGAAATATTTCCTGTGTAGATAGGGCATCTCGATGTACAGATCAAAGTGATAGATCAGTTTGAGGTAGCTTTATGAAAACCAGCTTCCTCATGCAGGAAGTGACAGCAGTCATGTTGCAGAAGTGAAACTTGTAATAATGTTGCAAGACTCTGGTGACAAATGTTACACCAAAAACTCTCTCCTCACACGCTGTATTCTTAGCTGTAACATCTAAGAAAATGGGAAGATATTTGTATGAAAAAAGTCTTTGTGAGGAAGTAGACAAACATGGCTGTTGAGAGTTTTTGAGAGAGTTCTGGCAGCATAGGTTACAAACAATAAAAAACATTATTTAAATGACTAGTAATACAGTACATAATACATACATAATAAGTACAATAGTGCAAAACAAAACTAAGACACGATAACAAAATGATGTTAAAAAATAGTTATTTAAATAATTACATGCTGAACTTCATTTATAAGCACAGCATATAATGTACTTGTGTACTGTACTAGGTGTGAGTCACAGAATACGCACTGTGACACACTTATTCTATGATCAATAATGCTTTTTATGTCTATTGTCTACATCAGTTTTGAATCATAGCACTTTAGAATTATAATAATCATTCCATATCTAACAATCTGTCCACTGATCAGTTTGAGGATGATCAGCAGTGTAAAACATAACAGAGAGTTGTCTTACCGAGCTCTTCCATGTCGCCTCTTGCTCTCACTACTTCAGTATGAGTGTGAGTGTGTTTTTTGCAGCTGTTAGTTACTAAGGTAACAAGCCCAATTTCTCATCAAGTCAAAACTGTCACTTCCTCTGACAAAGGTTTGTTTTTTGCTTGTTAGTGAATTAAGATCTATCCTTAGTTAGTAATGAGGTTTTGCTATTTCCAGAGAAGAGGAAACCAAGAGCAGTTTCTGAACAGTGAGATACAACTGAGATAACAGATTTCTGTGCTCAGTTGAGTGTTTGATGTAACCATATGAATAGATTCTGTGCTTTATTTATAAGACATAGCCTACTATATGTATGTATATATATATACATATACATATAAATAAATCTATAAAAAGTAGACAAGAAATGTTGTATTTATTAATAACATTTTAATGATAACTTCATAGATTTGAGGATAATGTCATTCACAACAAGGTTGTATGAAATTTTGATATAGTTACCTTTATGCTACCTCAAAAATCAGTGTCATAAAAATAAAATAAAGATTAGATATAAAATGTATTATTAATTTGCATAATGAATTGTTGTGGAAGAATTCAACTGCCTGAGGGAAGAAGCTGCTCTCTCAGATGGCAATAGGGTGAACAGGCTGTGGCGGGTGCAGTCTTTTAGTATCCTTTGGGCTCTGCAGACCCCTGACCTCACCACTATGACTGATGCTGGGTAGTACCAATGATCTTATGGGCGTTTCACCCGCTGTACTGTCCTCCTGTCCTGTGCCTTTCACATCCCATGATGCCAGTTTGTGATGTTTTTGCTTTCTTAAGTTTCCTTAAGAAATACAGTTGTTTCTGTGCTTTCTTAACCAGGGTGGAGATGGAAGATGACCATGTAAGGTTCTCTGTGATGTTGATTCCCAGGAACCTGTTCCAGCTCAGCTCCACTGATAAAAACAGGGGAGTGTGTCTTTGTCTTTTTTTTTCCTAAAATCAACAATCAGCTCCTTGGTTTTGCTGACTTTGAGCAGTAGATTTTCTGTGCACCATCTTGCAGGATTGTTGCTTTCCTCCCGATAAGGAATCTCATCATTGTTTGAAATCCGACGATGGTGGGAGTCAAAAGGATGGATAGGATGGGAGGGAGGAGATAAATAGTGGTTTAAGTTATAATTAGGATCATAGGAGCTTCTACTGTATGTGTTTTTTTCTTTTCTTTTTCTCTTCTAATTACTTACTTTTTATTATTGTATTTATTTTGATGCCACTATGTGAATGTAAATGTATGTATATTTATACTGCATATGGGATTACCATAGTGAATAGATGCAGAAATGTTATGCAAATTCATCACAATATTTTAATTTGTTGTCTTAGATATGTATCTGCCACAATGAATTAAAAAAAAGGCAAACCAATAAAAATTGGGCCACAAAAAAATTATGTGATGAAGCCATACCACAATTAGGACAATGTTTCCCATGATGTAACGTCTCCTCTCTTCACTTATAATATTTTACCAGTGCTCATATATTGGGCTGGGCATGCATCACAACCATTTAACCTTTAACACCTCATTTAATGATCAGTTATGGACAAATTTTTGACTAAGTGCTGATAAAAGACCTAAGGCCACCTTTAGATATTTGAATTCATTTCTTTACTAATGTGTCACAGTAATGAAATGTTTTAAAAGTTAAAATGTGTAATACTTATATATATGCAACCCCTTTAAGTCTCCATGACACCCTCTTGCCACCCCATGACTATTTCTCTGGATCCACCCCTGCTTTAGGGTTAGGGTTAGAGTCTTCAGTCTTCAGTTAGAGTCTTCAGAGTCCATGAAACTGTCACCTGCCATGTAGCTGGTTTGGCTTCCTAACTTTGTCATACTGGTGACCCTAACAGAGACACCCAGTGGACCACAGACTACAGTTTCTAAAGAGTAAATCAGAACAAACGTTTGAGTTTTGTATTTTGTTTCTATTTTCATTTTAGTCAACATATGGTAGTCCCCTCTCCGCGCACATACCTGCGTTGTCTCACACCACTTTGGTTGCAACCATTAGCTTTCAGGGCAGGGGTATTTGTGGTTGTGTTTGATTTTAAAACATACATTTAAACCGAATAATTAGCATTGTATGCTTATATGATATGAGTCCGATTATTAATAAGAACAATTTTCTAAAATGTTAAGCAAACAAGCGCCAGGGATTCATTTTCCTAACATTTGCGAAAGTCACATCGACCCCTGCTTTGTGGTTTGGTCTTTTACCGGAAGAGTCCGTGTTTACAGCGCAGCTTTGGCTCCACGTTAGCATCGTTGATTTGACGAGAAGTGTCTCGGGATTTCTCTGGCGCTTTTCTAACTTAACAGTCTCACCATTTTGTAAAATCACTCGTTTACGTTCGCGCCGCACCGCGATTGGCATGAGTGTTAGGAGGCGGAAGTGCTGCCGACAAGCACAACAATGACAAGCTGGCTAACGTAGCGCCGAGGTTAGCCAGCTAGGCGCCTGACAACAGCAGCTAACTCCTCAGATAGCAGCGGTACACCAAACACAGCCGAGCAGGTACCAGTATGTCAACTCCACCCGGCTGCAAGCGGTTCTATCTGCGCGCTTAACGACTGTCAACCTCGCATTGACACATATTACGTCCCCCCTGTCCCCCACATTGCCCCCCAGTAACGAGCTCAACCATGGGAGCGGAGAGCAGCGCGGTGCGGAGCTGTACCCTGGACGAGCCCCTCCTGACCCTGCCCTCCGGACTCACCATGCATTCGGCCATGCTCCAGGATGGAAAGCCGGCTTCGGTGTTTGTTCACAAGCGGGGGAATGAAGACAAAGTCAACAAAGCTGCCAAGGTAGTTAAAGTGACGCCTCGCCCTGACACCACATTACACCGGCTGCTTTACAGTGGCTGCATGTGTGGTAGAAGTGTTTAGTGACTTGCACATACAGGTGGCCAGCACACACGGACACCAAAACGCTGTTGCTGTGGTGAAGCCAGGTTTGCCATACAAGTTTGTCTTGCAAAGAAATAACTTTATCTCCTCTTCAAATCTGCCAGTTCAAGTCTTTTAATAAATGTTATATCGTGTACAAATGGTGTAGTTCTCAGAGGCAAATGTTGATTGGATTGCAGCATAGTCCGTGCAGTTTCTCATCATGTATCTGATACATATTTCGTCATATTGGTAAAGAACTCTACATTTCTATTGGACCTATGCCACCAAAATATGTCCTTATCCCCTCCACTGTCAGCAGTCTGTATTTAATTTATTTAAGTTAGTGGTTCTGGCTCTCAGTTTCTACCCATATGGATTTTCAGCTGCAGGATGTTCACTATTTATAGGAAATAAAGAAATACTTTCATTTCCCGCAGCACCTGAAGACCCTGAGGCACCCATGTCTACTGCGCTTCCTGTCCTGCTCAGTGCAGGATGGCGGCATCCACCTGGTGACGGAGCGTGTGCAGCCCCTGGAGCTGCTGCTGGACAGCCTCTCCCCAGAGGAAATCTGCGCAGGCATCTATGACCTCCTGCAGGCACTTGTCTTTCTGCACGAGAGGGTGAGCTAAAAGGGAGCACGGAGGAGTTGCTCTGGATGCAAGTGGCCGTTTGGTGTCTGTCTGTGTTAAACAGGCATGGATATGTTCCTAATCTGTCTTCCTTAACCACCAGGGCAAATCGAGCCACAACAACGTCTGCATTTCATCTGTGTTTGTCAGTGAAGATGGTCATTGGAAACTGGGAGGGATGGAGACTGTCTGCAAGTTCTCTGAAGCAACACCTGAGGTAAGAGAAATAGTAGGATGCTCCAAAGGTGCTCTCTGTATGAGTAATTTATTTTTTTTTCTAAAAGCACAGCATTCAGACATTTGAAGACTCACCTAATATATTAGTTTTATGTTTTGATTTTCAAATTTCTTCAACTCCTTAGTTTCTCTCAAGCATTGAGAATGTGAGAGAGGCCACCTACGTTCCTCCAGAAGAGCAGGTAAGCAGATTAAAGGTCATGATGGTAAAATGGAATTCCTCTTTTGTTTGCAAGTTCTCATTAGACATGTTGTCGACAGGTTGAGGGCTTTAAAATGCTTCCAGAGACAAATGCTCACTCTCGGGACTGTTACTCTTTCGGAATGATGGTGGAGACTCTCCTCTCTCTCTTGAATGGTTGTGGTGAGTACAGTGTTGGTTGTTTACTGGTGACCTCAACTGTTAAGTTGCATATTGTCAGATTTTAGTAGTATACACAGGTACACTTTCTTTTTTTCTGTTGTTTCCAGTGTCACAGGAGTTGTCTGATAGTCTGACGAAGACCCTGCAGGCAGGCCTGCTGAACTCTGACCCCTTGTCTCGACCTCCACTCAGCTCCCTGCTGACTCATGACTTTTTCAGGTAAGTCTGGTGAGGCTTGCTTTTGTTTCTTTGTTACTGTTATCAGTGCATACTGATGAACACACTGTATTTTTCTATGAATAGGAATGACTTTCTGGAAGTGATGAATTTTCTGAAGAGCCTGACCTTGAAATTGGAAGAAGAAAAGAATGAATTCTTCAAGTGAGAATTGTTGTTGTTGTTTTCTCTTCATTGTGCTCGTTTGTAAGTAGTTCATGGTGTTCATTCAACAGAACAACACATGCGTATTGTTTTCCAAGACACATAGACTTTATACATCTCTCAGAATTACTACACTGTAGGTAGATGATGACCACAATTTTGAAGTTAAAATAGTGTTTCTTATACATTCCTTCAATTAAATAAAGTATAATTTCACACACCGTTTCATTTTGGATCTCCTTAACATGCTCGTGTGTGTGTGTGTGTGTGTGTGTGTGTGTGTGTGGTTTTTATTTATTTATTTATTTATTTATTTATTTATTTATTTTTGTAGGTTTCTTCTAGACCGGGTCCAGAGTCTCCCTCAGGAGCTGATAGCTACACGCCTTGTCCCCAAACTCCTCAACTCTCTCGTGTTTGCAGAACCCATGGCTGTCAAAAGCTTCCTGCCTCATCTTCTAAGTCCAAAGAACGGTAAGAAGGATCTCTTGCTGTTAATAATACATTTCAAGATCATACTGTAGCTGTGTGTGAAACTGTAAGTGGAAATTGTTTTTTTTATTTTGTCTGTGTGAACAGATTCCAGTGAAGAATGCCTGCTGTCAGTGTCCCTTTACCGGAAACATGTGATTCCTCAACTTCTTAAGCTCTTCAAGATCAACGAGGAACATGTCCGGATGGTGTTGCTGGCTCACATCCACATCTACGCTGAGTTCTTCTCCCACGATGAACTCAAAAATCAGATCCTACCTCAGGTGGAGTGTTGACATAGTACCAGGATTTTGGTATCAGTGGTAAACACTGAGCTAAGTTTAAAGGAATCATTTAACATTTTGGGATATATGCTTATTCGCTTTTTTGCTGATTTCTCATCAGTTGATACCACTCCTATGTCTAGATGTTTACTCATGAAGCTAGAGCCAGGAAGAGCTTACCTTAGTATAAAGACTGGAAGCAGCTTGCCTGACTTACTCCAAAAATGTTGAAATATTCCTTTAATATCTAAAAATGATGTCCAGAACAAGCTAAATCAAAGATGTGTTTTTTTTTAATCTGGAAGTTAAAGTTGAAATAAAAAGTCTTTCATGTGAGGTGCGACGTACATGTTATTCTGCAGTTCTCTTACAGATAGAGTTACATAATATTTCTTTGTTTGTTCTTGGCTGCAGGTTTTGTTAGGAATGAGAGACACCAGTGATTCTCTGGTTGCCATGACACTGCAGAGTCTGGCTGTGTTGGTACCTTTGCTGGGGGCTAAAGTGGTTGTTGGTGGAGAGAGATCCAAGGTCTTTAAACGCACCACACCCAACTTCACCAAGTCTACAGAGGTCACCCCTGAAAGTAAGAAACACTGACCTAATAACGCCAGTAGCAATGAAAGCTGCTAAATCAATAATGTTCATATTCAACTATGTATAACACAAACTTAACTATTGTGTTTGTACTGCTTAAAGATGTGCATTCATTGTACGAATTCTGCTATCCTTTCTGAATCCCACATTTGTGAACTTTTCAATTCCTCAGAAGCCTAGTCGGCAGGAAACAAAGAATAATCCTAGACTTGTATCAACAAAAAAAAAAATGAATACAAATGTTTTGAGAGGTGATTGAAGACTGGACTGATTTAGACTGTTCAGTACCTCTAATCCGTCAGTTTAAGGCGGGGTCAGTCATGCTGAATAAAGATAGTTGGTGAGTCTCATTCCTAGCTTGTCAAATACAGAGGCTTTGCCAATCCAAAGCAACAACAATCAACTACCTTGGAGCCACCAAGTCAAAGCCAGTACAGGGAGGGTCAAACTGGTGTGATTTGTGACTACAGCAGTTGTTGCAGTTTTTTGTATAAACTGAAGACATTAAGTAGCACAGGCATTAGGATTGTTGTACTTTTCACCACATTTGTGTCTGTCTGTGAATGTCTCAATGTTGGCCTCAAGGTTTAAGAACAGGTTTTCTTAGTGTACAAGTTCAAACCAGAAAATCTGGATTTAGATAATCAACTGTCTAAACGTCTTAACTACTACACAGTCAAGCACATTAAATCAGATTGGATTTAAAGAAAGTAATATTTGGTCGACACTAATGTTACTCCTCCTGTCCTTTAGCTTCGCCTGTCCATATAGTTGGAGGATCTCACCCTCAGATGGCCCAGCCTTCGAAAGTCTTGAATTTGTTCCCCAGACCGGCAGGGACTGAAGGCCTGGTCCTGGGTGACTTGGGTAGCTTAGCAGGTAGTAGGAAGACTCCAAGCAGTTACCCCCTAGCTCCAATATCAGGTGTGACCTCAGCCCCACCTCCTGCCCTCAACACATAATTCAATTTTAATTCAGTTTGATGTTCTTGTGCCTGAAGCTCTGTCTGTTTTTAACATGTTTCAGATGTCAGTAGACAGATGTCTCTATCTTTGAACGGTTTTCGTCAAGATCGTGAGATGGAGCCACTGTCATACAGCCCGGAGCAGGCTGACGGACTGGAAGGCCCAGTAGAAGACTGGCCTGACTGGAGCGACCCTGAAGAGAGCGAGAACAGAGATGGACAGTCAGTCCAGATCCGCATTCAGGCCTCAGCGAGAGTAGATCCAGTCGGCAGCAGACTGCCGCTCTCACACCCGAACGTGGAACAGGAGCCGTGGGACGACTTTGAGGACACTGAACCTACCTCAGATCTCTCCCCTACTGCTCCTTTATCAGACCCAGCTATACTGTCACTGCCCAGAGGGGGCACTGCTACACCTGTAAAACATGCTCCTGAAGCACTGAGACAGGGTTCCTCTAAACCCCTCAAACTGACGTCGACACTGCGGCCATCCACACAGATTAAGACCACATGCTCATGGGACGATGGCTGGGCTCAAGAAGAGAGTGACTCGGAGAAAACCTACAACCCATTGAACCCCAAGCCCAAAACTACAGTGCCACAAAATAATGGTGGGATAGGAGGTCTGGGTGAGGAGTTCACCATTAAGGTGAAGAAAAAAGTAGAGCAAGACCCAGAGCTGGATTTGTTTGCAGACATGGTGCCGGTCATCAAACTGTCCTCTCCGGCTCTGCTGCTACTGGACGAGAGCAGTGTGAATGATGCTGGACTGTCCACAGCCTCTTCAGAAAACACGAAATCTCTGCAGGTTGACTCATCCATCGATAATGTAATGCTCACTGCCAAGTTCGCAGCTGCCAACCTGACTGAGGTGAGTGTGTGTGGGGGGGTAAAATTTTATTTTATTACTTTTTAGGCTTCCACAGCAATCTTTTCAAATGGTGTAAGAACTATTAGAACAGGAGCTGCAAAAATGCAGACTTAAACACATTAAATGTGTGGTTTCTGACCTTTACTTTCTTTGTGATATGTGAGTTGTGGGAAGTTTGAATGCCTGAAAATATAAAACTATGTAGTATTTTACAAAGACAAACACAGGATTAGAAAGCTTTCTGAAAAGTAATAATACTAGTATACTTGTAATACTAGTATAGTTAAAATGCTTTGACAACTTACATTTGTGAAACAAGACTGGAGGCAGTTTGAAGTGTGTTATGCAAAAAGCTAAATATGTAAATTAGAAATACAAATTAAGGGAACCATGAGCCAAAACGTTTTTAATTATATATATATACAATACATGTTGAAGTGACCTTTTCTGTTTATATTCATCTATGACAGAATTTCTTTCCATTTACCAACTAACCTCTCTGTGATAGTCTTTGTTTTTTCATTACATTTTTTTTTTTTCTTTTTCTTAAAGAGTGAAACAGATGGCTGGGGAGATGGAGATGATCTGAACTGGGAGGATGAAAATGCCTGGTGATGACATTTGATCCATCTGGAGCAAAAGACTCGACCACTGGAAAACTCAAATGCTCAAGTAGCGCCATCTCACACAGCCTGTGACCTGAAAGTTACTCCAGTTCTGATTTAACACTATGATGCAGTAGGAAGACAATGATGGGATGAGACCTTTTATATCCTATTCTGTTGGTTCCTAGACATTTGAACTGGAAGCTTATCAGATGGTGCTGGACTTGGACAAATGAAGCCATTCTTAATTGTTTGCCAACTGATGCTAGTCACCTCGAGATGAATGAGGATTTTAATCAGAGGTGAAAGTCATCCTGTTTTCATCTGCTTCTTTAATTTTTTTTGGTTTTTTCAATGTGCCAACTTTACTAGTGGCATGAAGATCAAGATACACGTGTCCAAAATGTGTTAGGTTTGATTTACAGAAGGCTTGCACTTTGAATGAATGTGAAATAGAAATTACATAATTTATTAGTAGCTTTTGGTTGCTGGTGAAGTAAAGATTTTACTGTATCAAAAATGACCCTGTTCTGTTTTATAAGACATTTGTTAGATTTACCTTTTATAAAGTTATTGCAGTTGTTTAGAGCTACTGACAGCAAGTACTTTACTTTTCATAACAGAAAAATCCTCTATCTAATATGGGTACTCAATAATAAAACAAATGTCTTACTGCACAATAAAAACAAATGAGCAATGATTTGTATTCAAACAAGTTTAATAAACAACATCAATCAAACACTGACCACAGACGGGTTTAAAAAGTTCAGCAGCAGTAAAGTGTATACTGACTTCCACAGGCCCAGACTGTGATTAAATAGTTTTTCTATACATAGTGTAAACAATTTGGCGCTATAAAACAAACTGGAACAGCTAGGTTGTGTGTCTGGCTGTACTGATGTGGGTTATGATGGTCTGCAGTTGTTGTAGTCTGGACTCCAGCCACTGTGGAGGTGGCGCAGTAGTGTGGGCTTTACCCTCCGCGAGAGCCTGAAGGGCTTTCAAAGCACTCTCAGCTGTCTGGATGTAGCGGCTGTACGCCTCCTCTGCACTGGTCTCCTGCCGAGCTCTCTTTGGGCTTGGCTGAGACGGAGGAATAAGTACAGGGAAAACAGACATCTTCATGAATTAAATTCTCACTCATACAACATGATTGAATTTCACATCAGACGAGACAGAAGTCTTGCTTGTTGAAACGAAATAGGCTGAGCTACTAGCATTGCATACTTAAATCCCACACATTTATATATTTATTAAGAAATATAAATATATATAACTTATAATAATAATATATAAAATAGGCATTAATAATAGCCTGGTTCATATTATGCTACGTACACTAGGAGGTAGTGTCGTACTGGCCAGCTGCCACTCAATGTGGCTTGGACAGTATAAATGTGAAGCAAAGCTGTGCATGAGCATGCATATTCAGGAAGCCTGTGAATAAAGTTTTACTTTAACTAACCTCTGAATCTACAACGGTGTCAGCGGGATTGTTCAAAGCATTTTCTTTGTTGTTCTCCAGCTTCTCATTGTGTTGCTCAATAACTGCTGTTTCCAGTTTAAGCCTCTGTAGCCGTGACTCTGCATCTTCCTGTGCATTCACAGTCTACAACAAAACAGACATGTTTACTTCAATGTGTTTTATCTAAGGGTGATTTTCATCACAATATGCTGGCATCTCTCACCTTGCTAAGATAGTTCACGACCCTCGTCTTGGTTTCTTCATCACACAAACTCTGAGAAATGACCTCCTCATGGTTTGTAATCTTAAATACCAAAAGGACACATTTATGACATGAACAGTATCGACACATCAGATGAACAGGATTACATCTGAAACATTAGTAAGATCTTTTATGTTCCTGCTGTACCTCAGCAAAGTGAGAAAAGGCCTCCAGGGCGTGCTGATGCAGCAGCCAGAGTCTGTCAGACAGCAGGACTCCAAACAGGCTGCTCAGCCTCGGCAGAATTAGATTCTTTGGGACAAAAAAGTTCATGTGAATATATTTACATTGTAGACTATAATACGTTTAGAATTCAAATGTCTACAGTTTCAGCTATTACAGATTTGTTCCATATAATAGATTAAAGGAATAATCTATTAAATGTAAAAAATAATGACAAATTCACATCACAAGATGCAAGAACCCAAAGTGATATTTCAAACATCATACTAACAAACATAATAATATTAAATTCATGAATATGTACAAGAAACAATCTGTAAACAGTAACTGATTCGTATTTGTTGGATAAAGCCAAATATCCGATGATAAAGATGTAATTAACTTCTTGAACACGATTTGTGCAATATATAGACTCACTTGAGGGTCTTGCAGGATAAAATATGTTAAGAGTGACTTCCAATGAGAACAGCAGTAGAAAAATTGTCCTTGAGAAACCTTTAGTAAGGAGTTCAAGGAACTAAAAGGCAACACCCTCTGGTTTCATTACCTGGCTCTCAGGAGGTACAAAGATCTTCCCCAGGGAGGAGAGGAACTCCAGAGCAGCAAGCAGCAGCTGATCTGCACACTTCTGAGCCACCACAGTATCCACACACAACAAAGCCTGAGAGA